CGGTGATAGCGCGTCCCCCTGTACCGCCACATCGCCGACCTGGCCGGCCGCTCCGAGGTCCTCCTGCCGGTCCCCTCCTTCAACGTCATCAACGGTGGCTCGCACGCCGGCAACAAGCTCGCCATGCAGGAGTTCATGATTCTGCCGGTTGGCGCGCCCAACTTCTCCGAGGCCATGCGCTACGGTACCGAGGTGTACCACACCCTGCGCAAGGTCATCCTCGAGAAGTACGGCCAGGATGGTATGTGTCGCAAGCGGCGGTGCCCCCCCCCCCCTCCCTGCCCTTCCCCCGCCCTCCTGGGCTTCACACGCTCCCACTGTTGCGGATGTGCCATATGCTTGCCAGTGTGTCCTGACCCTCCCTCCCCCCCCCCCTCCCGGTCGTTGCAATTGCCAGCCACCAACGTCGGCGATGAGGGCGGCTTCGCCCCCAACATCCAGGACAACCGCGAGGGTCTGGAGCTCCTGGTTGAGGCCATCTCCCGTGCCGGGTACACCGGCAAGGTTGTCATTGCCATGGATGTCGCCGCGTCGGAGTTCTTCCAGGAGGGCAAGTACAACCTGGACTTCAAGAACCCGGACGCCCCCAACAAGACCATCCTCTCCGGCAAGGAGCTGGCCGATCTGTACCTCTCCTTCATCAAGGACTATCCCGGTGCGCGGTTTGTCCTCTTTCTTTTTTTTCCTTCCTCTTCCCTTTCATCCCCTGCCCTCTTTGCCAGTCCCATTCTCACACGCAGGCACGTGAATGCAATGGCTCGCACGCGAAATCACCCCCATCACTCAGTTGTCTCTATCGAGGACGGCTTCGACGAGGACGACTGGGAGAGCTACGTTCACATGTCCACCAGCACCGACATCCAGCTGGTTGGCGATGACCTGCTGGTGACCAACCCCAAGCGGATTGCCACTGCCATCGAGAAGCGCGCCTGCAATGCCCTCCTGCTGAAGGTCAACCAGATTGGCTCCCTGACCGAGTCCATTGGCGCGTGCGTGTGCCCTGCTTCCTGGTTTGTGTGATATGCGGTGCCATGATTGGTTCCCCTCGACTGACATCCCCGCTTCCTCGCTCTCTTCCCGTGGGGTTGTTTTCTTCCCCTTCCCATCTGCGTTGGCACGCCGCCGTCGCCGTCCCCCCCCCCCCCCCCCCCCCTCAACAGGGCCAAGCTTGCTCAGTCCGCCGGGTGGGGTGTCATGGTCTCTCATCGCTCTGGCGAGACCGAGGACTCCTTCATCGCCGACCTTGTTGTTGGTCTGGGCGCCGGGCAGATCAAGACCGGTGCCCCCTGCCGCTCTGAGCGCCTGGCCAAGTACAACCAGCTCCTGCGGATTGAGGCCGAGCTTGCTGAGGCTGGTCTGCCGGTTGTCTACGCTGGCCAGCACTTCCGCACTCCTGACGCTGCCCTTGGCAAGCAGTAAGCCCCCCCTCCCCCCTCCCCAGCCTAGCCCCCAGCTGTCCCTCCTCCTCTCTTTTGGGGATGCCACGAGGGACGGCGGCGGAGAGGCAGACACCCTTTTCCAAAAAGCCTCTTGTGTTGTCATGCTCTTCCATTTTGAGAATATATCATCTGTAGCTTTCTCTCTCTCTCTCTCTCTCTCTCTCGTTCCGTTTTCCCTCGAAAAAAGCCAAGCTTTGTTCCTCTACCCCCTCATGTATGCCGCCCTTTCGGCAGGGAGGAAAACCAAAGACACATGCACACACCCTGGCTTGGTGTAGCAAGAGCCGGCTTTCGAAAGGGGCGCTGGAGGATGGAGTGGAGGGCCGACGCCGGAAGAAGAAAGGCGGCGGCTTTCCACTCGAGGACCAAGTCAAGGCCAGGCGGTGGCAGCGGCTTCTCGATCGCGTGTCTTTTCGAGGGCACAGCCACGGCTGTGTGTGCACGGTGATGGCCAGCCGGCCGGCTGGCCGGCCGGCCCCCGCAACCTTTTCCCCGCTTCCCCGCCCGCGCCCCCTGAATGGGACCCGGTTGCCCGGGGTGGAGGGCTGCGTCGAGCGCCTGACCGCACAAATTATCACGCCGCCAAACACATGACCGTTCAAATGTGACAGGCGGTTCGACCTGTCATCGGCGGGTCCGAAATTGAGGGTGTTGGCTTGGGCCCAAAGTTGTGGGTGAAATGGTGGGTTGTGGCCCTGATGGCGCAAGGCCTTGTTGTCTGGGGGGGGGGGGGGGACTCACTTCGCGAAATGTGGACCAACAGCCTTCGACCCCCAGGGCGTCCGATGGCAGAGACATGCGTTTCCCTTGCCGGCTCGGTGGGGGCCCGGGTGGGGGTGGACTCTTTCAGATGTAGCCCGCCATCTTCCCCCCGGAAGTCCGATTGACATGGGCGGCCGCGTGTTGCCTTTGGGAAAGCCGGGGCTTGTGTGCTTTTTTGGGGCCACTTATTCTCATGGCCGTTCGGGTGCGAGAGAGCGTGAACTTGCCTGCGGGAGCCGGAGGTCCTCCCCCCGGGGGCCAGAGGGGGCCATGTGTCACCAGCAAGCCGAGGGCCCATCAACGGTGAGTGGGTCCGTGTCACCCCTCATCTCTGAGATCTGGCCACCAAGGAGCCGGGGGCTCGGGGCGGGCGTTTCACGTCCAGGGGGGGGGGGGCATCCGGCTGGATGGCCCATGCCAGTCAGGACCCTTGCGGCAGGCGCCCCAGACGAGGGCCCCGGCTGTCATACATGGTGTGCAGCTGCATGTGAGAGAAGGCTGCTGCTGGTGTTCGGGAGGTGCGGCGGCAGCCTCTCGCTTGATGGTCGGGCTCGGGGCTTCCCTTGTCGTCTCTTTTGTTGGGGGCTCTGGCCCGGCCTGATGGGGCCGCGGGCCCCGATGCCGGCCATGCCTCTCGAGCCGATGTGGCCGTCCGGACGGGCGTGCGAGTGGGCGCCCCCGCTGGTTGGCCACATTTGGCTGGGATGTTGCATCTCCTCGGCTGGCGTGGCCCGCCGGCCGGGGAGTCCTTCCCGGGTGTTGGACCGAAATCCGATCCAAGCCGCGCGTCCGGCCGTGTGACACATGAGAGCCTACATGCTCATGTTGGAAGCATCGAAGTCCCCCCCCTCCCCCCCCCCTCGCGGCAAGTATAAATGGGACCCTGCAGGCTGAGACGGCAGACGGTGATGCAAAAGACTTCCCGTCAACGAATCGTTTGTCCCTTCCCTCCTCCGTTCTTCCTTCAGCTCATCTCTACCTTTGAGGCATAAGCCCCTCCGAATGTGCGCTGCGGTCACTGTAGCTCTATGCAGTGCCCCTCCCCCCCCAGCCGTGGTAACCCCACTGTCGAGGTCGACGTC